TAACTCTTACTGTTTTAGGTTGAATTGCCCTTGAAGATCGTCTTCCGTGGTCGCCGCAAATTCCACGTGCTCAAGAAACGGAAAGTCGACGGGGATTTGGTGAGGTTTTAATTGGATTAGTAAACTTAGCCCATGTTTTAAGAATCTATGGCATATCGACAACGCTGAACTTGGACCGTGGTGGGTTTTGTTATAATTTTATGCATTTTATTCGAACTTAAATTCTTCAACGTTTTTGCTCAGGTTCTCAAGACTGGAAAGCCTCATCGAGTTCTACACGGGGAACCAAAGTCACCTCAACTCGATCGAAACAGAGCGACAGCAGTAAAAAGTTTTATTATACCCAAATTTGTGTTCTTTTAAAAGATTATGTATTGTATAAATTTATGATTTACTTTTGAGTTGTAGGATTTTTGAAAATGAAGTGATTTATATAAATACTTTATTTAGAAAGAAATAAAGTGCGAAAACGACATGAGAAATGTACCAGATAAAAGATCATAAAGCCACTTAAAATGCAACGAAGTAGCCCTTTTAAAATCAGACACAGTGGGGATCAAACGCAACTAGTCTGTAAGGGCATTCCAAACTTTAATCTCACGACTTACAAAAAAGCTCTAGAGGATTTAGAGAAAGCAGATTCGAAATGCAAGGTAAAAGAGCCACGCCTAGTCGCCAAAAGTCTCGAGTTTAGCCGAAAAATTTTTTTAAAAAGAGGGTTTTGATGTTTTCCTTTTACAATTTTAAAGCACTCAACCAAATGATAAGACGGCGCTGGTTTCAAGGCGAAGGTTCCAAGTAAGAAAAGTTTCAATCTATGTTTATGCCTGACGGATGAGTAGTTAGCAAAATCAGTTTTGAATAGTGCTATTCGAGTGCAAATAGATCTAAGAATTTTGCCCGCACAAAAGGACGCTTCTTACATATTTTTCGATGTTTGTAGAGAAATTTAGAGGAGGTGATATGTAGACTCCTAAATCTCGCGAAGAGATTGGACTTTATTGCGACATCACCAATTTTAAGGGGGACTTTTATTTTACCTTTACTAAAATGAATAGATTTTGAGTGAGAAAGTTTTAAACCCCAAATATTGGACCAAATTTCAACTGTGCTCAGATCTTTTTGGATTTTATGAAAGGAGCTACCCAGATTTTTATTTATATCATTTAATGGAGTCTCAAAAATTAGCTTAACATCGTCGGCATAGAGCCTTATCTTGGAGAAAGGTCGGGCTAGATTTAGATTAGGTAAATCGTTGATGTAAATCGTAAAAAGTAGAGGTCCTAAAATGCTTCCTTGGGCCACTCCGCTAGTACAGGCATAGGAATCAGACATGCAATTATTTACCGAGACTTTAAAAGAGCGATTTGTGAGCCAGAAGGTGATACATTTTATAACATTCGGACAAATTTTATACTTCTTAAGCTTATGAATCAGAAAGGAGTGAGGGACAGTATCAAAGGCTTTTAGCAGTCGAGAAAAATAGCATCAAGTTGCATTTTGTGTTTATTCTCTATAACCCGGACAAAATCTCTATAAGATAAAAGCAATTGGTCAACTGTGGATTTGTTTTCCAAAAAGCCGAATTGTTGTTCGGATCAAAGATTGTTCATGTTTAGATGACTGTTTATTTTATTATGAGGGATAATTTCGAAAAGTTTGGATAGGGGTGAGGTCAAGCTAATGGGTGCCGACCCATTAGCTTGACCTTACCCCTGTCCAAGCTTGACCTCACCCCATCCAAACAAACAAAACAAAAGTTTGAGAAATGATTTTTAGGGGAAGATTTTGATAATGGTATAACGAAAGATTCTTTCCATTTAAGAGGGATTTCTCCATCGATCAAAATTCTGTTAAACATTTTGCAAATGTGATAACCTAGAATTCTGGAAAGGCCCTTAACGAAAAACGGGGATATACCATCAGGGCTAACACTCCTTTTAGGTTTTAGTTTCCTAAAGGCGTTTTCAATGTCTAAGAGTGTTACGTGGAAGCTTGGTTGGTCTGGGAAACTTTTAGTAATAACTAGATTTGGTGGGTTTACGGCCAATGGGACATTTACAAAGGTTGAATGAAAGAATTGAGCAAAAAGATCACAAATTTCATTTGGTTCAGTTATAAGTTCATTTAGTTTATTTGGGTTTTTATGTTCAAAAGCTTTGGGCAAGCTTTTATGTTCTTTAGACTTGGAATTTATATAACTGAAAAAATGCTTAGAATTTTGTGATCTAATGGCGCGTCTTTCAATATTTTGCTCAAATTTCTTGCAAAAACGGGGTAGTTTTACTTGGGCATTTCTTACTGAAGGGTCTTCTAAAGGATTCCCCAAAAGAAGATGAGTTTAGGAAACAGTTTAGCCTAAGTTTAGCCCTAGCAATGTGTGAAGGACATCTATTGAAATTATGAGGACAACTTTGCTCAATAGATTTTAAGAAGAGACTTGTGAAAATGTCATAATCCGTGTTCAGATTATTGGTGCCATTATTGGTGTCATAAAAAGATGTAGAATTTAGTATTGGACAAAAAGCTAACGCCGCCTTATCGAGATTTGCACAAAAATGAAAACACCTGGGCTTCTTGTTGATAGGGGTGGGCTGGCTGATCAAAATTTTGAAAACGATTGAAAATATGTAAACCGTTAAGAATCATATAGCCATGGACAAAAGTCTTGGCGGCTCCTGGGTGGCAACTTTCAAACGCAAATTTATGAACCTTCCCGTGAGGCTATAAAAAAGTTGTCACAAGTATTTTTGAGCATTTTTACTCTACTTTTAGCTATGACCAAGCATTAAAATAGAAAGTTTATTTTAAACAACAAAAATGAGCGTAAACGACAAAAAGGTCACAAAAACAATGGACTTTAAATTTTGAATTAAAAGCAATACCCCACCACCACGACTCTTATAAGCACTATTACTATCACAACGAATAATTTGATAGCTATTAGAGGGATTTAATAAAGAGGAACAATGCGAATCATCTAACCAACTTTCAGTAATAGCTAATATGGGGTAAATTTTGGTTCTGACAATAGCTTGAAAAGTGGATAAACGATCATGCGACAAAGAAACGATACTATGGGCATTACTATAGAAAATTTCTAAAGCACGAGAGGGTTGTCTTACTTTATTGGAGAATTGTGGGCCAAAGTAGGGGACATATCGTGATTAGCATCAATTCCTCGCGTCTTGACCGGTTGAGAAGGCGATTCTTGATTCGATGACGTTCTGGTCTCCGTGATCACAATATTACCTGGGGTTCCGTTCCTATTAAGAATTTTTCGTTTGACGATCCTTGTTCAATTGATCCTTGTGTATTTGCTTGACTTTTCTTGGGTCGGCCTCTTTGTCGCTTTGGGGCTCCTTGATTTGGCACCACAATTGAAGAAGTTGATTACATCAAGTTTTCACCAATATCTCCCCATCCTTCCTGAGCCGAATACATTTCTGTTGGATTCATCATTTCCCTGTTTGCAACCGTCGAGGAGCGCGTGAATCTTGTTGGATCAGAACGTCTAATTTGCATTTTTCTACACCTCGGTGGCAGAAAAGTCCCGGGAAAATGATTAACGCTCTTCAGGAGATTTGATGTAGCATGAGCTGACGAGAAAGTCAATTCTAGCGGGCGAGGCTGATCGAATGAGAAAACACCCATCCGGAAGCAATCAAGGATCGTCGCATCAAGCCCATAACTGATCAAAATCGTTTCTGCTATGTAACGATCCAAAGCTCCTCTGAATTCCGACGTCACTAACGGATGAATCGTCACTTCTGGTATGCCTTCAAGCACCAGCATATGATCCAACTTCATTTCGCGAGCTAGTCTAATATCGCGATTGAAGGTAGGCGGCCATCTAGCGGGAGGATGGAAAGGATGTGCGACGTTCAAAATCATCACTGGGTTGACATGCAGTAGGCTCGGTATCATCTTTGAGAGGGATAGAGCGGCGCAACTTCTTGGGACTCTTCGGATCGGTAGATGTAGAAGTAGAGTTGCAGTGTCTCGCAACAATCTCTCAAACTTGGGTAATTAAATTAATATTTTTTGGAACAAATATTATTTTTATTAAATAAGTAGGTGGAATCTGAGTGGGTCTACGTCACATATTTGGCAAACAACAGAAAGATCAATTGTCGACGTTGCATGACTTGTATCGCATGACTGAAAGGAAAAATGGAGTGGAATTTTTTTTTACTTCGTTTTTTCGGTCTAGTTGCTAAAAGTGGCAATGAATAATCAAGTTTAGAATGCACTTTTAATGTCACCGTCAAGTCAACCTAAAATTGGATATTTAACCTTGCTGAATTTTGACTGGAAAATGTAAGGCTAATTTTTTTTGATTATATTGGTTCAATTTGAAAGAGTTGAAAGTTTAATGGTACAGTAGGTCGTAGCATTATCTGTTATTTCCGTTTCGTTTCCGCAATTGAAATAATCGCTTAAGACGTAAAAAAAATTCGTAAAATTTTTCTTTATGATTTTTTAATTGAAATTTTTTTTACATTTCACGGATATTTGTTCAATACATTTTATTAACAATTTATTGTATCGCTAATAGAAACAGCATTTTTCACGAACTTTTAGAAAAATTTGAGACCCAAAGAGCCCAGAACTCGAATGGCTCGGTTTAGAGAGAAGTCTTCCCGCAACTTTCGGAGGCGACGATTCGTGAACACTTGCCACTTTTGAAGGATGAAGAGCCACTTTTCCTTCGTTTAGACGAACTTGCTGTAAACCTTGCTAAAAAATAACTGAAAACTACGATACAAACGATTTCTACCACCTGCTGAATTTGATAACGAATAAATGATCCGTATATCCATACGAAGACTCACAGTGGTTTTTTTGTGGCGATCAAATCTTTTTTTCCAATTTTCCCTTTTGCCCATTTCTTCTCCCGCCTCTTTGTACACATTCTTTTCCCTTGCAAAAAATTATATGGCGTAGTCAATGTAATTTTTTGGCAAGTAATGTCAATTTATCAAATTTCTCATTTTCAGATGGCAGAACAAAGTGTTGTCGTCGATGAGCCTATTCTCGACGATGATTTTGAAGTTCAGTTAATTTTAAAACATTTTAATAGCTATCTTTAGGGTGTCCTGGCAGAAATTACGGAGATGGAGCAAAACCACGAAAGGAACAAACTTATTGGAATGGTGGGTTTGGTTTTGTGAATAAGTACAATCTTATAAGTCCAGCCTCATCATACCCGACTTGTTTAGAGAGAAGTCTTCCCGCAACTTTCGGAGGCGACGATTCGTGAACACTTGCATTTGGATGAAGAGCCACTTTTCCTTCGTTTAAACGAACTTGCTGTAAGTTTTATCGGTATCGGTAATGTTTAAGTATTAGAAATCGATAACGCCAAAAGTCGAGCCAGCAAACGACAATAGCAAGATCGCCCCAAAGTCATCTTATACAGCTGCTGGACAGTTAGTGATAAAGTGAAACTATTAAATTGTAACTTCAGAGTCATCAACCCAGAAGAGATTCAAAGAGAAATGCTGAAAGAAAAGCTATTGTCAAAATTGCGTGCTTTGGAGAAAAAGTTTGTACCAATATTTTTTGTTGAATATGTATATCGTATAATGTTTAGAGAGAAGTCTGAAGAGGAAGTGCAACGTACGACAATGGAAGAGACGAAAATCAGCATGTTCCTACGTGATGCTTTTCCCACGGTTAATTCCTGAAGTGCATATTTATATATTAATTTAGATCCGGCAATGTGCTATCAATGAGGTAATGCAGAAACGCGGTTTCTACCAATGCATCATCATCCTTCGACTCGTTGAAATGGGGTACACGGATGATTTGCGAAAACAGAAATGTAGGTTTTGAAAGATTTTAGATGCAAAAGAAGTCGTTTTGTCTTATGGATTTGTTAATGTTTAGTCATCATTCCCAATAAGCTTCAAATGGAATCCGAATCTAATGCGATGCGAATGAAAGAGGCAAACGAAAAGCACAATATCCAGCTCCCACAGATGGCCATTGAGAAATGGACCAAGTACGAATCAATGATAAATGCTGTAAGTATTGGAAATATTGCAAACCTTTCTCGCATATCAATTTTAGGATTTTTTAACCGCAGTTTTGGCTCTTACGCAATTTGAATGCCCGATTTGCCTTGTTACAAACGCTGACAACGATGGTATTTTTTGCAGAAATTTCGACTCGAATGACAAGGAATATAGTAAGTTATTAATAAAGTTATGGAGCTAAATCTTGAATTTAAGCTGCACATCTTTTCTGCAAGGATTGCGTGAAACAACATGCGATGACTTCGGTGAACGAAATGACAATGGGCCCTGGTGGTTGTGGGGTGAAATGTCTCGAGAAATGCACAGGAGTTATTCTAACTTGTGAGGATTTTAAGTTTTTAAAATTTACTGTTTTTAGCCCAAATTGAACCATTGCTTAACGCGGACGAGAGAAAGCTCTTTGATAAGCGAGCCACGGAGGCCGCGCTTGCTGCCGTAAAAATTGAGAACATCGCACAGTTGGTTTTTACTGAACATTTTCATAATAATTTAACGCTTACCTAGACTAATTGCATTTACAGTATTCAGACAGTTTCGTAAAAAAGTGTCTTTCAGTTGTAAACGCTGTCTATTTGCCGCAATCGTCGAAGATCCAGAGAAACAACGGCGATTTTTCTGCCTCAACCCTCAATGCAACTACAAATATTGCCGGTACAATTTTAGACCTTGGATCCAACAATTTTCATCTTAGACTTTGTGGCAAGGACTACGATGAGAAGCATGAGGGTCGTGCATGCGAGGATGTGATGACAGCTGTTGATGAGGCTCTAAAATTTTTATTGGGCAAATTTTGTGAACTGGCATTGCCAAGCTTTTAAATCCAAAGGCTCTAAAATTAAGTACAAAATAGTAACCAATTTTATCTTTGGATCAGGTGGCGCTAGCGCTGAAGCCTAAGGCTTTTTACATCGAATTAACAATCACGGGCTTATGTAAATACGGTCACATTTGTTTTTGCAAAAAGGGTTTTGTATTTATTATTTTTATCGATGCTTATTTAGATTTAATTTATATTTTCACAGAGATTGAATAAAGTTTTGCATTTTTTCAAAGATTTACATGAGAACGAATTGTTCGAGGTTTCCAGAAACCCATCATTTTTGCATCAATAAGCACGGGGTGAGTCGTTTCTTTGTTACTTTTTTTGTTAATTCCAACTTTTAGTAATTCTCTTAAGAGAGGCTATTTCATTGGATCCATCACGACCGAGGTGTATTTGTTGGGAGTTCAGTTGTTGAGCATTGGCTTTACTTGCTCTAATATGGTGTTGCCAACTTATTATTTTTTTTAGGATGCCCTTCGCGAAGCGGTATAAAAGACGGTCGTTTTTTATCACCAGAGCAAGAATTACGAGTCGACAGTGGAAGTGAGTTTTGTCTCTTTAACGGCTAATTGAAAGCCCAATCAAATTACTATTAGTTCGAGCTTTGTAACAATTTTTAGCTAAAACTATTGATATGCTCTCCTTTCAGTTAACACCTTTAACTCTTACTGTTTTAGGTTGAATTGCCCTTGAAGATCGTCTTCCGTGGTCGCCGCAAATTCCACGTGCTCAAGAAACGGAAAGTCGACGGGGATTTGGTGAGGTTTTAATTGGATTAATAAACTTAGCCCATGTTTTAAGAATCTATGGCATATCGACAACGCTGAACTTGGACCGTGGTGGGTTTTGTTATAATTTTATGCATTTTATTCGAACTTAAATTCTTCAACGTTTTTGCTCAGGTTCTCAACACTGGAAAGCCTCATCGAGTTCTACACGACGAACAAAAGTCACCTCAACTCGATCGAAACAGAGCGACAGCAGTAAAAAGTTTTATTATACCCAAATTTGTGTTCTTTTAAAAGATTATGTATTGTATAAATTTATGATTTACTTTTGAGTTGTAGGATTTTTGAAAATAAAGTGATTTGGAACAAATATTATTTTTATTAAATAAGTAGGTGGAATCTGAGTGGGTCTACGTCACATATTTGGCAAACAACAGAAAGATCAATTGTCGACGTTGCATGACTTGTATCGCATGACTGAAAGGAAAAATGGAGTGGAAATTTTTTTTACTTCATTTTTTCAGTCTAGTTGCTAAAACTGGCAATGAATCAAGCTTAGAATGCACTTTTAATGTCATCGTGAAGCCAACCTACAATTGGATTTTTAACCTTGCTGAATTTTGACTGAAAAATGTAAGGCTAATTTTTTGATTATATTGATTCAATTTGAAAGAGTTGAAAGTTTAATGGTACTGTAAGTCGTAGCATCATCTGTTATTTTGGTACTCTAGCCAGGCTACTGCACGATACTGTAGCTTTTAGATTTTGGAGTATGACATTCTAGCTAGGTACTCTAAGGTGGTACGAGTACGACCGGCTGAGTACGATAACTGGGCTACCGTAGTTTGAGACAACTGGCTTTTCTTCGCTAATCCATTTTCTATAACATGTCCCACTTTCTCCGCCTACCGTAATCTTGTCGCTATTTTTTTATATTTATCTTTTTATTTGAGGCTTTTCACTCGATTCTTCAATCTCGGAACAAATATTCCCTATCCAATTTTTGCATGTCGATCATCTAGAGGCTACTCTCCAAGAAGAAGAATTTAGTGTGGCCCGGTTTTAGAAAGAAAATCGAGTTTTCTTGTCTTTCTTTTTTTTGTTGTTTCTTGAAAATTGCCTTTTTTCGAAAGAAACATTTGTCCATTTGTCCATTTTCCTTTTTCCTTTTCTCTAGTTTCGATTTATCCACCGAAAAGGACACACGTGCAACCATTTCACCTGTGTGTCCACCGAATTCCCCTGAGATTTTTGACATTTCTTTAGATTTAAGCCAATCCATCTTATTCTGTGGTTTTCAAATGCTAATCCTTCTACAGCTTTTTTTGTTTTCAATTTTCAATTTTCAATAATTCAACTCATTATTAGAGTCGACTAATCCGCTTTCTGAAAGGCACGGATTTTAGAGAAACTACTGTAATCATAGGAAACTACTGTAATCATAGGAAACTACTGTAATCATAGGAAACTACTGTAATCATAGTCGATACTTGTTTTTCAATTACATCCAGTTGTATTGATATGTTTTCGTGTTAGACTCAAAGTGTCATTGATATGTGTTGGTGTGAGTTGCGTGGGGAAATCCGGACAAAAACCCACGAAACGAGGGGGGTGAGAGCAATTTTCGTGTCGCGTTTTCCCCCCAGACACTTCCTTGTCCCGTATTTTATAAACAAAGTAATAGTTATACTATATTTCAGTCTACTCTGACAATCCAAACATTTTACTTTCAATTCTTTTTTTCAGTTATTTTCAGTTGTTTATTCATTTTCATTTCCAGTTTTATTCTATGAAAAAGAATGCGAAAATGCCTCTTTGTATCATTGTTTTCCCTTTGTTGAGATCAGAAACGCACGCTCTCTGGTGCACTGAGGAATTTGGATTGTCAGAGTAAACTGAAATATAGTATAACTATTACTTTGTAACCTAATCAAAAATTTTCTCTAAAACGTTTTTGGTAAGTTTTACTGTAGCCCGGGATTCTCATTATGAGAGAGGAAAAAGAAAAGACTAAATAGTAACTAAATAGGAACTATACAGTAACCAAATAGGAACTAAATAGGAACTATATAGTAACCAAAGAGGAACTATAAATAAACTATTAGGTTGATGCATAAGTCTTTTCGTTTTTTTCGTACTTCTGTTAAAAAGTAACAAATTCACGAATTAATCTATAGTTTGCTCTATAAAAAAAGTGTTTTTTTGTTCAATTTGCATCTTTTTAAATGAATTTCGGTTCACTTTGAAGCAAATTCGAGAGTGAAAAACGCCTTTTTCGTTAAAAATCTATAAAAAACTCTACGGAAAAATTGGCTGAATGAATTTCTCTGAAATTTTGGCGAAATATCAAACGTTTTTTTTCTCTATCTTTTATCTATTGACACGAAGATAGGTTTTCTTTAGCTAAGGTGTCTAAACCGCATCATCGAGTTAGCCCTTTTTGACTACCCGACTTCATACTCTCAAGAAAATCCAGGCATATTTTTAAACCCGTTTTAATGTTATTTTGCAGAAAAATAATTGCTTTTTCTAATGAAATCAACCGTAGTTTAATTCGTGCATTTGTTGGCTTGAAACGGCAGACGAAAAGGAACAAAAACACTTATGCATCAACCTATTATATAGGAACTAAATAGGAACTATAAAGTAACCAAATAGGAACTATAAAGGAACTATATAGGAACTACCCTAAAGTCGCGAGTATAAGTTCTGTTTGGTTTTCGCATGCAAATTGACGGCTGTCTCCGGTGCGGTGTGTCGAGGGTTCGAATCCCGCTGCAGCATAGCTTTTTTGCTTTTTAAGAACAATAATAGAAGTAAATTTATTGAGGGTTATAGCAATTTTATGCTGTTATTTGTTGCTCCGGGCGTGGCTCAGCGCGTCCGCCCTGCTCCTCTCCGGTGCTCAGTCTTATGGATCCCTCCCTGGCCTCTTCATCCGGCCAAAGTCCACGTCGACGGTCGAAAGAGATGCTTTCCAGCGTCTTCTTCAACACTATCGTCTGGATGTATCCATGCACATCATAAATAGCAATGGTGATAGGCTGTCACCCTGTAGTATCCCGGGCTCCAAGAAAAATAATATAAAAGTTTATATAACAATAAAAATGTATAAAAACCCAACAAAAAGAAATTCAAAGCAATTAAAGCGAATGTAAATTAAGGCAGAATTTATACTCGGATGAACTTATACTTGAAACTTTAGGGTAAATAGGAACTAAATAGTAAATATACAGTAACCAAATAGGAACTATAAGGGAACTAATTAGGAGCTAAATAGGAACTATATGGTAAACAAATAGGAACCCATGAGAAGAATTTTAGGTTCTAAGCTTTCAAAGAATTTGTTATTTCTGATAACAAAGATCCCATCTGTTTACACTATACAATTTGGAAACAAAAAAAGCAAAGAGAAGTTGTTGTGTTTTCATGTTTCTTTTCACCCTTCCCTTTATCCTTTCCTTTATCCTTTCCTTTATCCTTTATCCTTTCCTTTAACTCTTCTCACTCTCAATTTTTGATTGGTGGTCCCAATGGGAGATTTGTCTTGAAGAAAAAGAGAAGAATACGTTTGAAGAAGTTCGCTTTGTAGCTGAGAATAAAGCTTGGTTCGCTCCCCCTTCCCCTTTCAACCCTTTTTGGCTCGTTTTCTTTGGGTCATCACTTCCCCCCTGGCTACTTGAGAACTTATTTACTCAACTTTTAAACGGAAACTAAAGTCTGCAATACTTTTTCTATAGTTTAATGACTTTTATAGCTCTTTTGATGGACTTTTTGCTTGTGAAATAGATAAACGCACCCTTTCTAGTGCACTTAACAGCAATATATTTGCATCAACTTTAGATATAAATCATCCTTTTATTGCCAAATTTTAATTAGTTCTCCATTTCTCCATTTCCCAACAATAAAGTCTAGTCGTTTTTTTTAAATTTCGCCATTTTAAGAATTAAATAATCTTTTTTACTTTTTTTACTGGATGTTTAAGAAATCAGAGATCTCTGAACTCTGAAAGGAAAGGGGAAAGAAACGAAACATCAAATTACATTGTTAAAAGCATATTGAAAGAATTTGGAAAAAGGGGAAAAAGGGGGAAAAGCCATAAAGCAAACGAGAAATCGAGTAAGATACGTGGTCAATTTTTTAGACCAAATTTTAGTGGATCAATTGACTCTCGACTTTTCGTCGACCATAGCTGATGCCTAGGCAGGAGACAAGCCAGCTGAAACCTAACTAGGACCAAAAACTTATCCAGATCTATCCAAGCCAAGTCCGGAGTCTAACCTGTTGACCATAATCAAGTTAAACACAGGTTTTCTAGGACTAAAGTCCTAGGGCCTTTTACTCTAAGTCAGGATTTGACTTACCATGAATATAGACTTAGCTTCTCGATAATCCAAGTACTTCTAAGTACTCCAAGTAATCCAAGTACTTTAAACCTTTCGTGGATCAAGCTTCGATGGTTAATTAGGTTTTCCCATAAAAACCCAGAGATTTTCATTTTCATTTTCATTTATTTTCAACACATAGACAAAACGAAGAATCAGAATCGAATGATATAGTTTCCAGATGAATTCCAGATAAACCAGATCGACTTTTCTACAATCTTTGGCTAGCTTGCTAATCTCTCGTTCTTAAAATCCAACCGGCGCGAGTAAAAATAGTCGTTCAATCCGTTCTCGAGTTTGCTCTCATCTTTGTACTTTTTACCATCGAAGAAATCCTTTAGCAATAAGAATAAGTGATAGTCAGAAGGGATAACGTTTAGAGAATAGGAAAATCATGCATTTTCCTATTCTCTAAACGGTGCATTAGAAAGGAAAATCCCAGTGTAAGTTGTTCTTCACAAAATCGATTGATTTTTCTGATTTGTGGGAGCTTGCGCCATGCTGAAGAACGAAAACAAAAAAATTGCTTCTATAAACCAACCGCCGACTTTTTTTTCCACGTAAACATTGGTGCCAAAACGTCTGTCGATAAACGATAACACATTGTAAAAAAACCAATATTTGATCGTGAGTGATGATCTTCGTAGGAAAAAGCCAATCATTCCATTTGCTTCACAAGTTCTGACATTTCCGCTTTCTTTTAACTTCGATTGTTTCCAAAATTTCGTATGGGATTTGGCGTTGTTTTCTCCAATTTCCAAGACTCACCCATCCGAGCACTCAGAGCTATAGGCAGAGTATCGCCTTGGTGCCCCGTTGATCAATTCAATCCTTCAACGATTCACTGGACATCGATCTCCAGAGAATGGAA